GTAATGGTCCTCTTGGCCAGGGCTGTATTATTTTACACAATACAAGTAGCCATAGAAATCTTATAAATAAATACATACACTTTTAAAAAATTGTACCCAGACTTTTAAAAGATCCATGAAACCTGATGACAGCGGGAAGTATGAGAAACACAATCCAACACATATGGCAAGAAAGGCTGACTTACGCCAAGCATGAGGCTTGTTAGAAGATCTTTCTGCAGGACAGGCTAAGTGATGCATTAGCTGAAGCAATTTAGAAGAACTCTTAGTCACAGCCCCGTCTTGCTTTTCCAAATGCCAACCCATTTCTCAGAACACCGCGAGACCATGTCCCTGTGGGTGCAGAGGAAAAGCAATGCCAGCCAAAGTAGGTTGCAACTCAATCCAAGATGAGCAGTCCTACTGTGCATGCCCAGGGGCACTAGCTGCAATGTGACATCTCCACTTCCTGAGCTGTATGGGTTGTCAGTATTACTCCAGGTGTCACTCAGAGTGCTAGTCATCCTCTATAAAGTCCTACATGACATAGAGCCAAGCTTTTTGAGGAAACAGCTGTGTCCCATACCTTCTGCCCAGCCAGTAAGGTTGGCAAGTTCCAGGTCCCTTCAATCAAACAGTACCACGTCTCAGGACCCATAAAGCAGCCTTCTTTGTCACAGCACCTGCTCTCTGGAAATTTATCCAGCTCCCACCCTGTTGACATTCAACCCAAGATCTGGAACGTTCTCCCAGATCTTGGGTTGAGAGGGATGAGGCCCCTTGTCAGAGGTGTTTTGTCTCTGTTTTTGCAGAGTAAGCAGATCTCACCTTTTTTTTTTTATTTTGTATTGTGTTTTTATAGTTTATTGTACTGTGAGCTGTCCAGGGTCAGTTTGGAATCAGGTGGGTTTTAATTAAATTAACAAATAAACGAACAGGAAGCCTTCCAGCCAGGTTGGACTGCGATTCCCCAAATCCCCAGCCAAGAGAAGGAACTTTTGTAATATTTTTTTCAGCCTCACATTTATTGAAATGTCACCTTTTGGCCAGCTCCTGCACAAGGGAGCTGGGAAGTCCCCTGGCCCTGAGCTCAGGGATTGGACCCCTTTCTTTCTGCCTTTCCCTTATAAGGCCACCTCTGCATATGTCAATAGATTGCCTCATGCATTCATAAGCTGCTCAAGGAAAGCTGAACTATACGTTCAGCCTCTATAGCCTTTTTGTGTTTTGTTCCAAATCCAGAGGGCTGATCACCCTTGGGAGAAAGGTTTTGTGTGTGTGTGTGCGTGTGCACTCCTTCCTTTGTATTTCATCCTCAGTGACCCATGCTGTCAAAGGTGAGAGCAATAAGAGAACCTCATTGTGGGAAGAATGTGTGCAAAGTGGCCAGAAAAAAAATATATTCAGAAAGGGCCTCTGCACAAACCCATCCGGTAACACCGTTCTTCCAAGATTGTTCTGAAGAGCCCCAAATATTCAAATGGATATTTGGAACAGCTTGCTTCCGGAAGTTGTTGGTGCTCCATCACTGGGTTGTTTTTTTTAAAGAAGAGATTGGACAACCATTTGTCCGGAATGGAATAGGGTCTCCTGCTCTAGCAGGTGGCTGGACTACTAGAACAGGGCTTTTCAACCTTTTCACCCATTGTACCACTTTCAGGATATGGCAATATCTGAGTACCACCAGTCGCCTAGCAAGGTGTCAAAAACTTGATGACCCCCCCCAAAAAAGAAAAAAAGTGATAAAGTACAGGTAGTCCTCGACTTACAACAGTTCGCTTAGTGACTGCTTGAAGTTACAATGGCACTGGAAAAAGTGCCCCCCCAAGCCACAGCCGAGCAAGACACCTGCCTGCCCACCTGGCGGTGCTCTTCCTCCTGTCCGAGGTTTTCATTGTTGTGAGCATTTCTGTTGAGGATTGGCAGCGGGGGTAAGGTGGGGGGCGGTGTTTGGTTTTTATTTCCCCCATCTGCTGGGTGGTTGCAGCAGGTTTTGGTCACTTCACATGACCCTGGGACACTAGGACCATCATAAATATGAATCAGTTGCCAAGCATCTGAATGTAAATCACAAGAGGCTGGAGAGGCTGCAACATTCCAGCTGATCGGCGCTTCTTCTGGGCTCAGCAGAAGCGCCAGGATCAGTGCTGCTTTCCAGCTGATTGGTGCTTCTTCAGGGCTCAGCAGAAGCACCAGGATCAGCGCAGAGCTCCAACTGGAGCCTGGCGCTGATCCTGGCGCTTCCACTGAGCCCTGACAGCCCCGAAGAAGCGCCGATCAGCTGGAAAGCGGCACTGATCCTGGCGCTTCCGCTGAGCCCTGACAGCCCTGCAGCTCCAGCCATCTCTCACTCAGGCTTGTGCGGTGCTGCCACCAGTTCAGCTCATTCCCCTCCCCCGCTACCACTTTTCTAGGATAGTTGTGTACCACCTGCCAGGTGCCAATGTACCACAGGTGGTACCCGTACCACTGGTTCAAAAGCCCTGTATTAGAAGATCTCCAAGGTCCCTTCCAACTCTGTTATTCTATGTTCTGTGTATGATTCATGCTAACTGACAATTCAGTTATGAATCATTAAGCAAAGCAATCGTCTCAGTACAAGGAGAAAAGGTGGAAGAATCACTCCATCCCAAACCCTCCTTGGGCTCACACGAAGAGGAAAGAAGGAACAAAAAAAAAAGGCGTTTTCTTTTTCTCTGAGTTAAAAAGAAACCACAATTGCCTTTCCATTGTTTGTTCTTTTTCAGGCCTTTCTCAACACCAGAGGTCTGACACACCGAAGAGCACTGGTTCCTCAGCTTTAGCAGTTTTAAGACGCCTGGATGGTCACCTCACAGAATTCTACCTATCTATTCTAGCTGGCTGGGGAAGTTGAAGTCTACATGCCTTAAAGTCTGCTGCGATTGAGAAATGAGGATGAAACGAGAGGGAAGAGGACGGAACAAGATTTTAGAGGGATTGCGAAATGAAATCTCACTCATGAGATGGCAACTTCTCTTTTTATTCAGAGTCCAGGTTTTGCAACTCCTCTGGGCCCTGCAATTACCTGTAAAAGGCAACAGGATTGCATTGTCAACTTTCTAATATGTCTAATAGTCTGAAATGACTGTGAGAATGTGCAGAGGTTTGGTAGAACTCTGTGCGGACGTACGTCCTGAGGGAGAGAACGAGAGATTCGGCAACATTTCCACTGGATGTGTGAGTTCAGCTCTACAGAAGTAGAGATGAGAAAACTGCAAGGTTTGCAGAAGTGAGCCATGGTGTCTGCAATCAGACAAGAAACATGGCATTGCTGTAATTAAGAACTGCGCTGAGATGGAAGCTCAGTTTTACAGAAGTAGAGCAGTTAAAGGGTTGGAATGCAACTGGGGAGACCAAGATTTACAGACCAAATATCACAGTGGGAAGAGTTATTACGTCTTAATCTTGCCTACCACACACGACAGTTGCTCAAAAGACACATAAGTTGTCTTGAACTGAGGGATGTCAGGGTGGGTTCAAACCTCACCACTGTCAACATCCAAGGCTTCAAAAAGCAAAAGGGAAGGCTCAACTGCTTTACGCCGATTGGCTGGGAAGGATCTTAACAAATTATATTGTATAATTTGTATGATCTTATGAGTAGAAGGTTGATCCTTCGTGAGGGTAAAAAGTACTTTCATGCAACAAAACTTGCAATGCACTACTTACAACCACAACTGGAATGAGAATTTCAGTTGCTAAGCAAGGCGGTTGCTAAGTCAGTCGCACCTGAATTTTACAACCGATTTTGCCGGGGTGGTGAAGCAAATTACTACAGTTTTTAAGTGAATCCCATGGTTGTTATGTGAATCTGGCTTTCCCCGTTGACTTTGCTTGCTGGAAGTTGGCTGGCAAGATTGCAAACGGCAAGCACGTGTCCCTGGGATGCTACAACTGTCATAAATACATGCTGGTTGCCAACTGTGATCATGTGACTGTGGGGATGCTGCTACAGTCGTACATGCAAGTCAGGTTTTTCAGTGCTGTTGTGATTTTGAATGGTTGTAAGTTGAGAAGTAGCTTTATATATTCTAAAGCCAACCAACTGAACAAAGAACCCTGCAAACAGAAACTGGAGGAGTGACCAGAGTTGAGGGCCTCTGTGCAAAATGTTTTTTTGAGGGGACTCTCAGCCCAAACTTCTGGGAACATATCTTAGTTTCTCTTCTCACCCCTCTTTTCCTCTTCCTGGGCTCCCCTCTTCTCTCTTTCCTTTCCCAAGAGAAAGGAAGAGCAAGCTGTACTGTACTCAGACAACCTGCTTAACCTGGTGGGAAATGAAATGGCCTGTTTTCCGGATGCGCGTAATAAACACACAACGAGCCTTCAACTCATCCGAGGGGAGACAGAGGGAGGCGGAAGGGCAACCACACGAAGCTCGCTTGGCAAGTAGTACGAATGCAATCGCCAAGCGGCTTCCTGGGCTGCCGATGGTTGTGTGAACACAAGCCTTTCCGCGGTTCCTCCCATTTTGGGCCCGCTGTGGGCTGCCCCCCGGTGCCTCCCTGGCATTGGCTTTCACGTACAAGGGCGTGGTGGGGTTTGTTTTCTTCCCGCTCCTGGGCCTTTTTTTTTTGCCTTGCTTCTTGGGTCTCCGCCGTCGAGCACCCGAGGTCGGCCTCAGGGGGTGGGGTGGGGAACGGCAACCGACCACCTCCACCGCCCAGCCCGCTCTGGGACGCGCTGCCCCCCGCCCAGCCCTCCCCCTCCGGCTTCTGCTTCGTCCGGCCAGCAACTTGTCCCCGCTTGCCCGGGTACTCTGCGCTGATTGGCTGGCGGGCGAAAGTCTCGCCAGGCAAGGAGGCGAGGACTCCGCGGTGACGTCATGGGGAAACCCCCCGGCCCTCGCTTTAGCTCCGGGCGGCCGCGCTAGAGGCGGCTTTTCAGAAGCAGGCGGCGAGCGGAGCGGACCGGGCCGGCGCGCGTCCCTGCCAGTCCCGGCCTTCCGAAGCGCACGAGTCGAGGAAGCTGAGCCCTGCAACTCAAGCCTCCCTCCCGAAATGATGCCGACCAAAATGCCGCGCAAGCCCGCGCTGCAGAACTCGGCGCCCTCAGGTAGTAATTCATCCGGCGCGCCCCGTCTCTGTTGGCTTCCAGGCGGGAGGGCGAGCGGGCGGGCGGGCCTGGACCGGAGAGGCGCCTCTCGTCTTCGGGTCCTGGGGCTGTTCTCGGGCTGCGCGGGCGGGTTGAGCGGCCGAGAGGCAGCACTTCTTAGCGAGGCGCGGCGACCGGGGATGGGTGGTCGCGGATGAAACCAGGAGCGCCGAGCCGGTTCCTCCCACCCGGAGCGCAGCCCTCGAAAGAACCTGCCCTTGGTTCTTGAATTCGCCCCTCGGGCGTGAGGGGGATGGGGTGCCAGGACATGTCCGAATCTGCGATCGAAGCCCCATCTTCGGATCTGTCATCTCAAGTGCAGTCGGTCTCTTTCCTTTTTCCTCTTTCTCTCCCGAGATCGCCAAGCCCCAGGGAAGCAGGTGGTACCTGGGCTGGTTGCTATGGATCACCTGCTGGCTGAAGATCCCGCTGTTGGAGCTCCTGGGCTCTCGGGGAACTAGGACCCCCCGAGCCTCTCTGGAAGGAAATGATAGTGGGGCCGTATTACTCAGAAAGGCACCAAATTCAGCATAGTAGAAAGACCTCAGACCTGGTCTTATGTGTGCGCTGAGAAGACGGTCTTAGATGCCAACTCCTATTACAGCAGACCTGGTCAGCCCCATCCATAAAGCTCTTTGTTATAGAAGGCTACATAGGGCACTTGATGTTCTGGGTGATTTTTTTGCTTGGAGGTTGTTTCCATCCCTCTTCCCCCCCCCCCCATTGGCTTGTATTTCCATTGGCCAGTTGCTAAGATCCAAGAGTCTGAAAGGAAGGGGAGGGGGATCTAAATCTGCTTGCAAAGGCTTTATTATTTGTGGCGGGAGGGGGAGGGGGGAGAGAAAGAACTGCAGCTTCCACTTGAAGGTAAAGGAAAGCGCTACCTCTGTGGAAAGTTGCAGCATTTTAAGGACCTAGGAAGTTGCCTTGGAGAGATTGTTCCCGTGATGTCTGCTGTGCCAGAAGCCCTTGGAGGACTTCGGTGGAGACCTCTTTCCAACCTTCTTCCTGTGTGATCTCTTGAACAGGAGGTGCTAGGATAAAGCATGGGATCTTCTGCCGGGAGAACCCAGTTCTGCCCCTAATTGGTGTTAGCGTAATTTACTGCTCTGAATGTTCCAGGGCTGTTTGCTGTCGATCTTTTCCTTGTTGTTAAAGAGAGCTTTAATTCAACACAAGGAGATGGGTGGGGTATCATTTGGACAATTGTCTTCTGTGTAAATTTCTTAGAAGGCGCTTTCAGCACCGCTAGGCATAGCAGTGATTCATTTCATTCATACACATATTCAAGTCGAAGGACCCTATAGCCTGCATCGTAGGCTCACCTGCCCGGAGACTGTCTTTCTTAATTTAACTTAGGGAGTCTTCTCACCAAGCATTTATCGCCCTCCGTTTAACTGAATGGGGGACCCCCCACAGGAATTCTGTCAATGCGTATAACAGACCATAACCGAGTCGGGATGAGTGCCTTAGGGGAGGCTGAAAGAAACACGACCATTTCATGATAATCAATGCAATTGGCAATAATGTGCTTATCTATTTTGCAGAGCGTTCTGTGGTGATAGCCATACAGCTACGCAGAATTGGGGACAAGTGGAATCTCCGACAAAGAATCCTGAACCTGATTTCCAAGCTCTTCTGCCCAGGAACCTGAAAGGGACTCAAAGAAGAGAAAAGGGAATTGAAAAACAACAGGAAAGGAAGAAAAGGATGTCTGTGAAGATGCAAACTTTTTGTACTCGGATTTATGAAAGAGAACCACCATGAGGTGGAAGAGATGAAATGTTTAAAGGGTTTTGTTGCTTGTTTCCATCAACAACCACAAGAGCTCCTGTGTAATATTCTCAGCCACCATTTCAGGAAGTTTGTGGGTGAATGCAAATGGAGCTAATGAGAGAGGAGAAGACTGGATGTTACTGTTGACTGACAATGGTGAATTGGTCCTGGGAAATGAAGGAATCTAAAACAGCCGACAGAGCTGAAATCCTATTCAGTGTTGGATATTAAGCACCGTTTCATGCATAGGAAAAAATGATTTTTGTGTGTGGCCTCTGGTTTTCTTGAAAAATGCAAATCAGTTCCTCAGCTCTTTTGTTCTTATTTTGGAGTTTGGAAACCTACCTGGAGAAAACCAGGAGAATATGTTACATATGGATTTGTTTTGTTGAAATGAATGTACTTTGCTAGATGTTCATTATATTACAATGCCCTTAAATTATGAGTGAAGCTGGTACAGCTACAATACCAACTTTACAATATATGCCCTATGGGTAAGACGTTTTTGGTATATTTATTTTTGTGGGAGCTTGTTTTCAGGTTATTAACCATGACTAAATATTCAGTATGAATGTTCAAAACATTCTGCATCAGAGTAGATTTTAACAGGTTTTCAAATGTTCCTCAGTGAAAGTAACATATTCTTAGCTTTACAGAATGAATCGGTACAAGTTTAGTTATGAGTTAAGAAAATATAGTTCTGTTTATACATTAAAGGTGATAGATTCCTAACAGTGTTAGAACTTTATAAATAATATAAGCTTTAGAAAAGAAAATGCAGATCAAAAGTTACATTAAGATGGCAATTTGGGGGATGAAACAATGCTGGTTTTTCACTAAGGAAACAAATTATTCAATATAGGTCAGCTGGATGAACAGTATCAGACGCTTTAAAAAAGTGCAAGAGTTATAGAGTCATAGCCTAGAAATTCACATGAGATTATCAATCAATCAATCAATCTGTTTATTACAGCCATAAGGCCAGACATAATCAAAATGTATAACAACAGTAACAATTATATTTCCATATTTACAGGATATAAAACCACCAAACAATCAATATAATATAATCCAAAATTCTCAAAATAAAACATCATATTAGACCTTAATAATGGTACGACATATTGTGCAAATGGTGGCACAAAATTGGGCAACCTGAATTGATATTTTCGGATCCTTATCCGAAAGTAGCAGCTTTAGATAAAATTCATATCCCCTGCCTGGAAATTTCTTCAATATCGGATATATAAGAATCTGTCTAGAGGCTTTATATAAAGAGCAATGAAGCAACATATGGCTTAGAGTTTCTATAGAGCCATCACCACATGGACACAACCGAAGGTGCATAGGAATGCCCTTAAACAGTCCAAAAAAAGGACTGCCGAAGGCAATGCATTCAGCCTGGCTAAAGTGAAAGCTTTACAAAATTTCAAAATTGTCATGGAAAATAGATAAGAAGCTGGGAAGAATCCTTCTGGAAGCAAGTGACAAGTGTTGGAATGTGCCACCTTATTTAGGTTTGTTTGGAGATCAATATTCCAGATTCGTTGTTTCAAGGCAGTTCTAGCATTATCAAAACCTAATGAACACAGACTTTCTATAGAAAAGCCCAGCGATTTAATTTTATCTAGGGCTTTTTTTCCCCCACGATGATTTAAAGTGGTCTATAAATATTAATGGAGCTAAACCCACAGGCATCAAAATTAACTTTAGCCAAAAGGTAAGAAGAAGGAACCATGCTCTAGCTTCCAATGAAACTGTGCCTATTTCTACCTATTTCACATGAGATTACATCTTGACATGGTTGTGTTTTCGTACACTAATTACTGTTTAAGAAATTGAATTGTACACAACAAAGAGTATCTACAAGGATCAAGTGCTAATTCAGAAATCAGCTCCAAAGATTTTCAGCAGATTTGCTTAGTTCCAAACAAATGTCTGAATTGGGACTGAACAATTTCAGTTTTTATTCTGCAACATTCTTAACATAACCTCTAAAGATATTTCAGTTGAATTCGTAAGTACCTTATGGTACTAGTCTGGCCATGGTTACACTAACATATATCAAAATTGGGCTATTTTCCCTAAGCATTACCCAATATTAGTTGAATAAAAATGTAAATAACTAGAATTGTTGGATATCCTCTCAAAGTTGGCGTTCCTTTTTGTAAATCTCTTTTAAAAACTGGCTTCTTAGCATTACGTTGATTACAGAATTATGAAGTCTTACTTGAAGGCCATGGTTCTTCAGTAAACAGTCCTTGTGCTGTATTTTCTTATTGAGAACAACCAGGGGGGAATCCAAAAAGTCAAAATGGCAGCTGTCAGAGCTGGAGCAAAGCCATTTTTACATACAGCTGTTATTTTGACAAATTTGACCCAGAGATGGTAACATTTTTTTTCTTTGCATGTTTTTATATGAGAGTATTGCACAATACATTCTTTTGCTAAGCCTAGGGTATTGGGTCAGGAGCATAGTTTACAGCACCCAACCTGTCTTATAAAATAACTTGAACTTTATTGCCAGAATTTTGTTTGCTGGTCATGCTGCCCGTGAAACCTGGTCATAGAAGTTAATAACTGGAGATCATCACATAGGGCAGGGGTCTTCAAACTTGGCACTTTTCTGACTTGTGGACTTCAACTCTCAGAATTCCTCAGCCAGGCATGCTGGCTGAGGAATTCTGGGAGTTGAAGTCCACAAGTCCTAAAAGGGCCAAGTTTGAAGACCCCTGACATAGGAGGAGGTGTGTTTACAGCAACAGAACAAATTAGAAGTATTTAAGGAGCACATCCCATAACCAAAAGGTTATATTCCCATGCCAGCATTCTTGCAAATGTCATACATAGCTTTCCGTAAGAATCATTGTTTTTGTCTATGTCTTAAAAATTATTCCTTTTGTGTGGCGACTGTTAAGCTAATAAACTTGATTTGTTGTTCAAAAAAAATATTCTCCAGTATATAATTTTCATGGAATTTGAACATGCCCCCTGCCTTCCTGTGATTGTTATTATATCCTATTATACAGGGGTTTTGGTTTTTTTTAAAGTTCTGCTTGCTAGCTCGTCTGGAGGGATTGGGTTGTCAAAAAGAGTCAAGTTGGTGGCTTTGTTCACGTAAAGGCCAGCTGCCATTTCCCATCACAAGTGAGGGAGGGGTGTTCAATGCAAGACAGCACATATTTGTTTTATGGACAGTCTTCTTCAAACCAGTGCAATCTGGAGATGTTGAATTGCCACTGATGTTCTAACAGATCTGGAACGTGCAGGTTCAATTTGGCTCCCAAAGGGCTTAACTGTTCTTCAAACA